ATTTCAACATTGTGCTTCTGTATTTTCCTTGTTGCAATTTCGTCCTCTGGCCGCTACCGGCACAGTGACAATGTGGATGTGAGGTTCAAAGTAAGGCACATGACTGCCAAAAGACAGCATAAGGACCATCACATGTATCAGCTAATTGCTTATGAAAATCGTATAAGCGGAAAACACCTTCTAAATGAACATCACACATTAGATGCTGAAACTACTTCATGCAGCTTATTTCTAAGTTAACAAGTGAATTTTTGTGGCTAATTTGTCAAGTCTGGACAAAGCACATCCCCTCACTAAGTTGGTTCAAAGAATGGATACCAAAATGTATACCACATCAATTCATGATGGAAGTGAAGGGAAAAACAAAAAAGGTGTTCTGCATTTTGTACAAGGGACTCCAAAACTTTAAATCAAAGAGTGTTTATACAGGACAATGGAAATTGAATGGTATGAGATTACTGTCTGGAAATTTGGTGCAAAACTGACTGAATAAAAAGTAACTTGTACAATGTCCAGACTCTGGACAGGAAACCAGAACAACAAATTAAAATACATGATACCTGTTAAACTCAGATTCAGTCTGGTTAATTTGTTTACTTTGAAAGTCCAACCCCATGATTAGTTTAGACCTTCTGTTGTTTGTTTTCTTATATTTTTCTTGGACGCACCGTTTTGTATGTGTGCCACTGTTGTAAAAGTGTAGCTTCCAAATAAAGAATATAAAAATATGTAGTAATTAAGGATTCTTTGTACAGTAGGCCTACTCAATTTTAATGTACAGCTTGCTGTGTGGTGAAATGATCATTCCCAGCCAGCCAGCAGTTTAAATTTGAGAGGGTTTACTCAGTACAATAATCTACTATACAATATTAGGCTTATATTGTAAGATAAATATGTTAATATATTTAATTTAGTACTAATGTATATATTATGGTATAGTAGGCCTATATTATTATTATCATCATCATCATCATTATTTTTTTACCAACAGATGCACTGATTTTTAAATAACATTGAATGATTGTTACTCAGAATGAAGAGCTTGTGGCCTTTTCACCATATACTGGTCATGAATAATGACCCAATATGGTTGAAACATTGTAACATAGCCTCCCTCTTTATATTTATATAATGTTCATTCTATGCTATTATTTTATTTATTATTAATGATAATGATTTTAATGTGTTATTATAAACATTATCATTCTCATTATTATCATTTTTGTTCTACCTGAAAGTGTGACTATTTGCACTAGTAAAAATAACAATAATCAATAATAAAATAATATATTAATAGTTGATTGTGTAAAAGTGATTATCATAATATCATGGTTGAAATGAATAATGACATTTGTATGTGGCACTTGATTCAAAATGTAATAGGAAAGTAAAAAGAATTGAACAGTAGGCCTATCAATAATAGTATATTATTATAATATAAATATAACGGCTTTATGAACAATAAAATTGTTTTGATACAAGTTTAACTTGTAGTATGGGGTATGATGAAATAATGATGATAATACAGATTTTAAATACATTAAGTATTTATATATTTTCTTAAGTAATTTTAATTCATCATTATTATAGGCTTCTTTTGATTTATAATTGTTTATGATATACATTATATATTTAGATTCATACACGCCAAGGACAACCCACAAAAATCGAAATACTTATTTCCACTTCTAGCGTAGGATCCATCTCTATTTTCCGAAGAGTTTACCGCATACTGTATTTTAATGAGCACATTAAACTAAAACTGTCTGAAATTACAGCTGTGTTAAAAATAAAATCAGCTGAGTTGTGCTTGATAAATCACTGGGCAAGCATGTTGATGAATGCACAGAATAGCCCTCTTCCATCAACCCCACAATAAGGCTGCACCCAATGTTTAGTTAATGTTTGGTTAAGTTTTCAAGATCTTTTAGAAAACACAGACCCATTAGACGCAAGTCACAAAAGATCTGCCTTATATGTATAAACCAGTTGATTAAAACTTCCTTATAAAAAGTAATAGTAAAGACTAAAAATATAGTTTTCTAGATGTAGATAAGTAAGACCTAAAAACAATCACATTTTCTAGCCCTGTCCACAATGTAAACCCCTTTTACATAAGACAACAATTTAGTTAAAACCCACTCCAAAAGTAATCACACGGTCTAATAATTTAAATTTGAATCTTCAAGTACAGTAAATTCAATTCAAGTGATATTTATTACTTTATAGGTACATCTTGGGGTCCTTAAAAAAAATGAATCGAAGGAGGAGGATATGCTGGACATATGTAAATATTTGCACAAGTATGTACCAAACCACTCAGATGATGCCACTAGCTCTCAGAAACCAATCAAGGTATACTCAGTTTCAGTATATTTTGATTGTCATTGGTAAACCTAAGTTAAATAGAAATATATTTGCACATATCAGGTTGTTTATTTTTTTAAGGTATTTTTTGTGCGAATTTGTATTGTTGTTTGTTAATGAGTGGATAATACCCCTCGATAGCTTTCGAAACAATAAAAATCTTGAATCATTTTCAATGATCCAATTTATATTTTTTTAAAGTATAGAAAAATTTTTTAAAAAATCACACATTTTCGGATTAATAATTACTGTACAAATATATTGCATTACAATATAGTACTTTATATTGTGTTGAAATTTATTGAAACTCAGCTGCATAATTTATTTATTTATTTATTTTATTTTTATTTTTTTTTATTATCCAAATAATAATGACAGTATGATTATAATTCACTGAAGCAACGAATAATTAATAATAATTGAATACAGAAAAAAATATATAATATATTGCAAGAAAAAGTCCAGAATTAAAAGCAATAATAAATATAATAGGGCCACTGGGTTATTATTGACTTCATTTAATTACTCAATTGACTGAATATATCAGTTGGTGGTTTATTATCTAGTCTTACAAATTTTATGATAAATATTATTTTATATTTCTCTCAGATTCTAAGTGGTGGTGACTACCTCACATTTGAGAGACACAAGGGAGCACAGTCAACCATGCAAGATGCAAGGACACCATCTAAACGACTGGAAGGATTGATCCCAAAAATGGAGGACTTTCATCAACAAGCAGAATGGTTAGATGCAGTAAGTCTAGTGTACTATAATACTACAAATTAAAAAATGTAAAGCCGGGCACTCACTGCGTCGAACGATGAATCCAACTCCACTCCTGGTGACCACAGCTGATTATCAGTGGCACTCTGAATGGATTGTCAATAATAGGCATCCATTGCACACCCATCATGGCGTTGTGTTCCCCGTAGCATCGCGTCAGGGGCAGTGAGCACCCGGCCAAGTTTAATGTATGGTTTTTATTTAAAATCAACTCAGCAACTTGAGATTAAATTATTAAAATTGCATTCGTTTTTTATTGTGTATGTTGAAATATGCAATTATATGCTCATGCCTAAATGCATTATCAGTCCCTCAGCTCTACAGATCCTTAAATCAGGCTTTTGTATATTCCAGGTGTGTTGGAAGCAGCTATATGACACTACTGTAGGTCAGCACGGGACATCGGCACGCTATATGCAGCAAGAAATGCATTAAATGCAAGGAATGTCACAAAAGATGCCCATAACTGCTACTATGCTGCTTCTGATTTGCTGGACAAATACACAGACAGTTACCTTATAGCAGGTGCTCTCAACTTCTTTGGTTTGGAGGATGTCAATTGTGAACCATCTGTGAATGAGTATTCTGGATCTCCACTATACGATGTTGGCAAGGAAGAGTATGTGAAAGCAGTTGTCACCAAATTCATTAAAATTCACATTTTTTCTGAAACGCCCACGATAACTGTAGCAATTTCAAGTGTAAATTTTGTGGCAAAGTTTACAAGCACGTTGGAACACTCACGAACCACGAGGAAAAACTCCATAATTTCAAACGAGCCAAAGAACACCATCCAACACCTAAGCAAGAAGATGATAATGTTTACAACTACACTCGCAAAGTCTTAATACTTACAATGCTCAAACGTAACCACAACAATGCTATTAAGATGGGAGATGGTGACAGAGTTGTCAGGCTATATAAGTATTTCCTGCTTTTCTATAAAGCCTCCTCAAGCACACCAAAATATGCATATGAAACTTTTGAAATGCTTGCCCAGATTCTTTGCCTGTTAACACCACGTCAAGCATTCAACCTAACATGGAACAGGTTTGTTAATTATCGAATGTAAAGTGACACAAATTTTCCTATGGACTTGGATGTTGAACATGCCAATAAATCATTCAAGGAAGAATTACACTCTTTCAGGGGCGAGGTAACAGAAAAAACAATAAACCGCATAAGCAGGAGCATTAATTTTACAGATGCTATTGTACGTAATTTTGATCACGAAACAAATGTAAAAAAACCGAGTGGAAAGCACACTGATGTTGACTTCACCGAAGATGTACTCACTCTTGTAAATCAATACCGTAATCTCAAATTGTTTGATTCCGGGCAGAGCATACAACATGTATCCAAAGGTGGAAAGCAACATGATTGATTCATTAGACATGGAGAAAATGATACTGAAAAAATTTGCAGGAAAACATTATTATCAAGTAAAGTAATTGGGTTTTGTGTTTGCATAGGTTTTTAATTTTACTGTGCTTGCAAATTATATGTTTAGTCCATGGATGTATTACCTTCATGATTATTCACAAGACACTCTTTGTTAATCAAAGCTATTTTTTAAATTTTAATATTTTACTTTTTATGATTTATTGTATGCAGTGTTATTTTTTTTGGCTATAGTGACTTATTACAGTGTAGTAAAAATAATTTTTTCTTTTAATGTACAGTATATAGAGTACAGTATCCTGTTTATGGATGTTCTGATCCATTTTAAACTACAAACGTTCGTTTGTAGTTTAAATAATTATTAAAATTGTGAATTCTAAATTTATAATTTAGCACATTAATCAGTTGGTGGATTCGCTTTAGGCGATTCATCAATCGGCAGACACTGTGCATACACGTTCTGCACAAATGTGCATGTTTTGGCCCTCCAATGCAAGACAGTAATTAACGCAACCACGGAAATGTGTATTCTATTGTTATTTTTTCAATGAAGGGCATCTACAGTTAAACTAATAAAATGCTTGTTTTTAAAGAATAATTATTATTACTGTACTATTATCATTCATACTGTATAGAGTATTTGCAGATTTATACAATATCTACTATATGTATAAAGAGATATCAAAAAAGTTAATAAAAATATAATCTTCACCTGATTGCAGGCGAAACGTCAAGAAATAAATAGTGAGTAAGGTATCTTAATTTTGCACTTGACATTGGATCATCTAAAAAGAACCTTTAGAACACACTTATCGTTTGGATCCAATGAATTTATCCAATAAATTAAAAACTACTTTTTCATATACATTTGTTTCAAAAAACTAAAATGAAAATACTTATAATTAAACTATATTTGTTGTGTCAGCTAATATTCCATTCTATATGCTTTGCACTTTGCTGTCACTGTGTCCATCAATGTCGAACTAATCTATAGAGAAGACCAGCTCCATGTGGAAAGGAATGGTTGCGAATCAGCCACCACACGATTGGTTGTACTTTGGAATGAATATAGTGCCAATCAACGCAGTGCCCGTGCACTTATGCTAGCAGCCAGCAAACTTATCAGCCGTAACGCTTCAGGCTTAAGTCAGTAAAGATAAATAATGTGATGTAACTTGTTTGTAAATGCAATATTGCTCATATTGTATTCATATTATTTTAAGCATTGATATATGTAAACTATACAGGTATATAATTGGAGAATGTAAATTGTTTATAAATATTTTGTTTGATATTTTATTCTTAATGTAATTTCTTTTTATAATATTTAAACATGTAAATCTGGCTTCCCAGTATTTAAAACAAATATAGAACATATATTATTGTTTGTAAATATTGCATTGATATTGTATTCATTTTTATATTTAAGCATTGATGACTTCGCAATATTGTTAGGCTTAGGCCTACATGCGACATACTACAATAAATAATTGTTTGTAAATATTAAGTAAACTTGTAAATGTATAGGCCTATACATATAACGAAAAACATAAATAATATAAATAACGTGATTGTTTAAATTGTTTTATAGTTCAACGTTCAACTGAATTTGCTGAAATAAAATTATTGAATGTTGAAAGATAAATTGTTGTGATGTTGGTGGCCGACCATAGGACTGTCAACCACTCAAGACATTTTGTGAACCCTGTTGATGGAACCATAAGGCAGAACATTGAATCTTATTGGAATAGAGCCAAATATAAATTCAAGGAAATGAAAGGGGTAAACAGAGAATGGCTGGAGGAGTAATATGGCTGGAGGAGTATTTGGATGAGTTGGATCAGCCATCCACTCCGATCAATTGGTATATTTACAACCACGTTGCGGACATACCTGAGGTAACCGACCATAGGACTGTCAACCACTCAAGACATTTTGTGAACCCTGTTGATGGCACCAACAGGCAGAACATTGAATCTTATTGGAAAAGAGCCAAATATAAATTCAAGAAAATGAAAGGGGTAAACAGAGAATGGCTGGAGGAGTAATATGGCTGGAGGAGTATTTGGATGAGTTCATGTGTAGGGAAAGGTTTGGAAGAGGTAGAAGGGGAAGCCTTCCATAACATAATATTGCCCACATTGCAGAGTTCTATCCGCAGTGATAGTGAGTGTAAACAAGGTAATACATACATGTATAATAAAACTTCAGTTAAATACCCAAGAAAAGTACTATAACATTGTGCAAATGAATAAATTTGGAAATTAACTTATTATTCCAAGTATGGTATGAACTTGTTAGTCATTTTTGTCTTTATTGGTTTTGTTCTCAAATAACTTAAAAATAGGTGGCGCTATTACTATCCGACTCATTTATTTGACCAAAAAGTGATATCTCCCATAGTAATCTCTGCACGAAATTGGTGTTTTATGACAAACCGTGATATACAACACTTCTCCTTTATGACAAAACGCTACTCATCCATTCAGCCAATCAGCGATGGTACTTTATCAGAATTTGGATATCCAAGATGCCTGCGCCAATATACACATGGTAAAGACTCAGCGGTGTGTAAATTCATTGCTGTAGGCCTAGCAAAAATGAATAATTTTGACAGTTTAAATGATGAAGCGGTGTTACCACCACGCACAAGAAAGAGAGGACAGTCGGTACAGTACCATTAGCGTGAAAAAAAGAAGAAATTGAGGTATTCTGGAGGAGGTAAGTGTGCACACGGCGAGGGACAACCTCTGTCATGCCAACCTATTAACTCACGGTGATTTGGCCTTTAATAATAACAAATTCTATGAAAACCCAAATAAAGTTGTGCAAGATCAAATTATTTTGAGGCTACTTGAACCCTCCCAAACGGCGTTGAATTCCTGTACAAAATGAGGCAGCTCGAAAGAATAGAACCACTGACGTGAAATATCCTTTGCTGACAGAAAATCATCCTAGGAAGGTGAAAGTATGCAAAGCAACGTTTATCAAGGTTTTTGGTAAGCTTGGCCTAGACTATTTCTATTTTGGACGTTCGTTTGTAGTTTAAATAATTATTAAAATTGTGAATTCTAAATTTGTGTTCATAAACTGAGGTAGGCCTGAACCTAGCGCTCAGGTTGTGTAGTCATTTGACCTAGGGAGGATTCGTCACATTTTGGACGCTTTGTCCCTATTATTTGGATTGGTTCCAAGACAAGGCCTAATATTACTAGTTGTTGGATATATTGCATATTGCCAAAAAAGCACATTAATCAGTCGGTGGATTCGCTTTGGGCGATTCATCAATCGGCAGACACTGTGCATAAACGTTCTGCACAAATGTTTATGCACAGTGCATAATGCAAGACGGTAATTATCGTAACCATGGAAATGTGTATTCTATTGTTATTCTTTCAACGAAGGGCATCTACAGTTAAACTTAAAGTGCTTGGTTTAGAGAATAATTATTATTACTGTATTATTATCATTCATACTGTATAGACTATTTGCAGATTTATACAATATCTACAATATGTAAAGAGATATCAATTAAATTAAAGTTACTAAAAATATAATTTTTGCCTGATTGCAGGCGAATGGCAAGAAATAAATAGCGAGTAAAGTATCTTAATTTTGCACTTGACTTTGGATCATCTAAAAAGAACCTTTAGAACACACTTATCATTTGGATCCAATGAATTTATTCAATAAATAAAAAACTACTTTTTCATTTGTTTCAAAAAACAAAAATTAAAATACTTATAATTAAACTATGTTTGTTGTGTCAGCTAAGATTCCATTCTATATGCTTTGCACTTTGCTCTACGAGGAAGCTGTCACTGTGTCCATCAATGTCGAGCTAATCTATAGAGAAGACCAGCTCCATGTGGAAAGGAATGGTTGCGAATCAGCCACCACACGATTGGTTGTATGAATATAGTGCCAGTCAACGCAGTGCCCGTGCACTTATGCTAGCAGCCAGCAAACTTATCAGCCGTAACGCTTCAGGTTTCAGTCAGTAAAGATAAATAATGCGATGTAACTTGTTTGTAAATGCAATATTGTTACTCATATTGTATTCATATTATTTTTAAGCATTGATATATGTA